GGATGAGGCCGCTGATGTGGGCCTGGCAGGACGAACCCGTTCCTGCAGGCCAGCGGAGGGTTTGGGCATGTATGCCATTCGTTTTACTACCTCCATAAAAGAGACTTTAGCAGTAGGAGCCTCCATAGAGGCTTCCTTTCTCTCAGAAGTAGGGGATGGCGTAGTCGGCTCAGAAGAAACAACACAGGTGCTGCGAGGTACAGCAGGGGTGGGCGGCGGCGCGGGGACAACTTTACCTGAAGGGCTTCAATTTCCTCTCCTTGCCTGCCAACAATGTGGGTCAGTGCTTTTACTGCCCCTTCCAAGACATGAACCCAACTCCAGTAGTTTATCCCGTTTCTTGGACCTTCATCGTCAAAAGTGGGGCCACTGTTCATCCAAGTTCGTACGTCCTGTACTATGTTGTCTTCAATCGACCCGGACTCCGAGGAGAGGAGAGGCTGAGTATTGCCAGACTGGATATCCTTCAGGCCTTCCAACATAGACCCGATTACACTACCTAAGCGGGGTCCAGGAGAGGGAGTCCTGCCAGCATCTAGCATCTCACAGACACCTGCCATAATCAAGTCCGCCTGGGCCACTACAGTGTCAGTGTCCTCAGGTTGGGTCTCTGGGAGCCGGACTTCCAGTGGGGTTGAATCGCCACTGGGGGCTTCTGAGGGACCTTCTAGTTGGCCTCCGGGGGGTGACAACCATCGTCCAATAATGGGTGGAGGTGATGACCCCATAGCTAGTGAATGGGCATGTATGCTGTCGCCCAAACCAGTCGCTTCCGAGTTGCGTCCATCATCCGGTTCCATAGGAGTGTCCCTGGCCAGCACCTCAGCAGTGGGTAGGACATCCTCAGTCATTAGCAGGGATGGAGAAGGGGGTGTTGTTAGGAATACCGAGATCCGATACCTAGGAACCACCCTAGGTAGGGTAACCTCTCCCGAAATTGAAATCTCAGGTCTCCAACACCCCCCTCTGGCCCCCTTACGGGGCCCGCGCGTCATCATACATATCAATCTAAGTTGTGTCCTGTGAGTATTATACCACAGAATCGAAGGTGTTAGAATAACACCGTATACGTCGCCGCCGTCCGTCCGACCGGATCCTGTTCGCAGGATATATAAGAGGGGACCTTCGGCTAGGTCTGGGAAGTATAACGGAGTGAATCTGTCAACTATCCAGAAGGTTACTAGGCTTCAAGAACGAGATATCTTCAGCATAGGCCGTAAGTAACGGGACGTTTTCGCGCAAAAAGATGATGATGAATAGTAAAGGATCTTAATGAAAGACCAATACATTCACATCTACCCTACGATAACCAGAAGAGTCTGGAACTCCTGAGAATACTGCCATCGAACCCAATGAAGTTCGAGGAGTGTTACAACTAGGTTTCGGTACATACTGCAACCAAAGGGGTGACTCCCAAACCAGTAACAGTAACCAGAATCCTATTACCCACGGCAACCAAGGGTTACAGACCAAGTGATTATCTACCAATCCTATGGAAAGGCTTCCTGCAGGCAAGTAGGAAGTCCTCCAGAAAAGACCTATCGGTTGGATATGGAGTTATGAAGAGTTGAAGTTAGATGACCTAGAAAGTCGGTAATAACAACTATCTTCGCAGATGCAACCCGCAGACGAAACTGATCATTTCGTCGACAAGGGAGACGATTGGAGCCAACACAGTTCGACTTGAGAATTGGGCCATTTGTCTAAAAAGACTCTCCCCATCGGATAATTACTATTGGAAACAGCGTGACTTCCAAATAGTCATATTATAATTATCAAAGAGGGTGTGATGATTTTCAGGGTCTCCAGGTGTTCGCACCTTGGAAGAAAACCCGACGTTGCGAGTTATATTGGAAAAAGGTACATGGTTGTATGTTAGTTAGATGTAGTCCGCGAACACTCAGACGCGGAATATAAATATCGAAGTGCCTCCCAAGCTTTAGACATCATCAAGCAACGGAGAAGAGACCTTAACAATATAATATTGTTCTTACGATTTTACTTTACTTTACCCTACTTTACTTCGCTCTTAGTAGTCATAAACGAAACGAGTGAAGTCCGAGCCTTCCTAGACAATCTCCGTCTATAAAAACGAATCTCGATCGGCCTAGACAACTCTGAAGTCTATCAGGTTGTCTCCGCCTAACAGGTGTGGCCTCGATTGTCGATGGGAGTACCACAGGTGGAGGGATGGCCAGGTGCCCCTGGTAAACGTCTAGGGGTAGGCCGGGAAGAGCGGGGACAATCTGTTTCTTCCATCCCTCATCGACGTTGATAGCCCTCAAAAATTGGGGTCCAAGGAGAGAGGCAGCAGATCACTTGGCAGGAGATGCCGACCGTGTCCGGCGGCGTGTTCCCGAGGCAAGAGGGTTGTAATCCTCGTCATCAGGGTCATCCAGTTTGAACTTCGGGGTTTCATAAAGAGCCCTTTCTCCTGAAGACATTCCTGCCAGAAAGGAGGGAGTCGAGGAACCGGTCCCGGCATTGTGGGCCTGGCAGAGGTAGCTGGTCATCTTGCTTTGGACAGCCCTAGTGAGGGGAGGAGTAGCGGACCAAGAGCTGGCCTCAACCATGGTGGCAGCGGAGTTGTCCTTGGCAGGGGGGAAGGAGGATTCATGGACTATAGCCTGAAAATCTTTAGGAGGGGAAGGTGCAGGGGCTGGAGAATATTCCGAGCCATGGTCCGAGTTGAACCAAACGAAGAGCCCTGTGGTAGTGTCCTTGTTCAAGCCACATGTGGCTGAACAGCCTCTCCCAATCAGGAAACCTCTCACCAAAACCTCCACTTCTTTCATCGTGGCAACGGTCGCGTCAGCAACCGTTTGCCAGACCAAATCATCAAACTGCGGGTTCACCGCATTCTGACACCTGTGACGGTGGTGGAACTGTAAGAAATTAAAGTTTCCTTTGGGTGCAACATATGACCGTGTAGTTGTGGGGATGAGGCCACGGTCAGCCTCGCTAACAGGCGCAAGAAACAAGGTCACACGGGCTGTCTCAAGTGAGGAGGAGAGGTTGGAGTCGAACCGAACGGAGGACGACATCCTTGAAGGAGGGGGAGAATCCATGGATGAGGAGGCTGTTGAAGACGCCATCCTCGCTCAAACTATACTCAGTGATTACCGGGACCAGGCCACGGATATCTTACACTGAAGTATCTTCTAAGCAAGAACAACAACTTCTAACCAACCGCCCGAAACGAAAAACACAAACAAGTAACAGCAGATGAAGTATTTATTGCGAACGAAATAAGGTAAAGTATTGGTGTGCTCACTTCCGACATGGGGTGCAAGAAGTAGGAAAAGTACTTAGAACAAAGCGTGAAGAACCTATCCTCCTCGGCCCTATCGGCCTCCTTATATAGTATTCTTCCCACCCATAGTCATGTGACCCAAAGTGGTCACATATGCGAAACTAAATCATAACAAACTAGTCATGTGACCAAGATATTCACATGCTCAAAACCCATGACCTCATATCAAGGTCATGTGCAAAAACTCATAAACCAATAAACAAATCATATAACTCGACTGAGTCATGTGCGTGAAATCCATGACCTCATAATGAGGTCATATGTGAAACATAAATCATATGAGCAAGGCATACCCACAAGGCACACTCGCAAGGCATACTCATCAGGCGCACATCCCATGACTCATATTTGAGCCATATGCGAAAGCATCACAAATCCTACACGTAACAAATTATATGACTCAAATGAGTCATATGTGTGAAATAATAACATACCTGTGACTCATAACCATGTATCACGTGAAAACCTTTTCCTCGCCAAGCCACACTTATGACATTCACCTCCTCTTGCACTTCTTGCTCTACCTCCTCCTGCCATCCAAGCTCTAATGCTTCCTCTGCCATTCATTCTTCATTTTCGACCTCTCTCTCCTCCACTTCTTCTCCCCCAACTTCTCCATCCCTTATTCCCTCATCCTCCCCAATTCCCTCATCTATTTCATCTCTTTCCACTTCTATGACTACTCTCTCATCTGCCTCCACCTCCTGACGTTCCCCTAGTACCCAGAATTCTCTTCTATCTTCCTGCACTTGCAACTCAGCTTTCTTCTTTCTCCTCCAAATTTTTCTGCCGACAGGGGACTTTCTCCCCTTTTCTGGTACCACTAAGGCTTACATCTAATACAATACAATTACAATTATTATGCAGTTAGTTTCAGGTCCAGCCAACTATTATTATTCAAAAACTTACTGGTAAGAATGACTCCCTCATTTGGGACTTGTGGCTCTGGCGTCAAGGATCACTCCTTAAGTTGAACAGCATCAATGTTCTTCTTGGGTCCACCACCAAGCTTGCCGGTGAGGTGATAGTAACATTTGCGTCATCCAATTCCGGCCATTCAAATAATGTTGTTGTTTGTAATATACTATATCAATATATCACGCCTCTTCATATAATTTGCTTTCCTTGACTCACATGCTAAAATATTTAATTCCTCAGCAATTTTGTGTTGCATTTCAATGCCAAGCCTCAGATTTTACACCAAAAATTCAAGTTTTCAATCAAGGATGCCACTCCAAGTACTTGCTTATACTAAATAAAAAAAAACATACTTTTATTCTACTTCACTTGCTCTATATTTCTATGGTTTTTTTTACCTAAGTTGGACCACTAGAGAGTGAGCGATGTTCAATTGAAAACCCTCCTAAATGAGGTTGACGCTTATGCGTTCTTGCACTATATCTTGGACAACAAAGTGAGGGATCTTGGCTTATGAAGATCCAGCATAAAATCGCATACTGGTTCGAGTTCGTGAGAAGAAATGGGTGCCTTGGGTGGGCCAGGACAGGGCGGGCGTCACAAGTTACTTAATATGCCTAAACCGAGCGCAAAATTTAGATTAAATGAGTTTAGGAATTGGTCTTGGGGGTAACGGAAATACCAAGAATAGCATACTGATGGAAGAAACATAAGCGGCTAAGTGAGAAAAATCCGACGAGATATCGTACGTATACAATACAGATATGATAAATGCCATGCAAGTCCTGCCCTCCTTTCATACCCCAATGACAAGACAGAATGTGGCGCATTGATCGATTGAAGGGGAAATATAACGAGAAGAAAAAAAATCATTTTTCAATAGCCCTAAGGGAGGGCACAGAAGTTTTATATATATATACAGTTTCGAAGGCCCACCGAGATATCCCAGGTTTAACGATAACCGTCATTTGAGTCCGAGATTATACCGGTACAGGAAACAGGTGGTAATGAGTAGAACATGGAATAAGATAGGAGAAAAAAGGAAAAGAAAAGACATGATAAGTAAAAACGCCTCAGCTATTTAGATAGCTTCCATTACCATCCACCACCCCCTCCGCCTTGCTCGCCCCTTCTGCGTCTCTTGGACTCATCCTTCCTCCCGTTGTCATTCTCGCGGCCGTGTTTTCTCTCCCTATCCCTCCCATCGCGCCTTTCGCGCTCCTTATCGCGGTCTCTATCTCTATCTCTATCCCTGCCACTGCTACTTCCGCCAATTGCGGCAGCCACACCGCTTCCCCTGCGTGATTCTCTGTCCCGGTCGCGCTCACGCTCGCGCTCAGTAAGATGGCGATCACGTTCCCTTGGATCTCGGGTTTCACGATCGCGGTCTCTTTCTTGCTGCCCGCGGTCACGATCTAGCCCTCTATCGCGGTCCATTCCGACTCGCTCACGGTCACGGTCCCGTTCGTTCTGACGTTCACGCTCTCGCTCACGTTCCCGGTCTCCGTCGCGTAGAACCCGATCTCTCTCGCGCTCTCTATCCCTATCTCTATCCCCTCTGTCTCGTTCACGCTCCCTGTCTCCCCTATCCCGTCCATGGCGACCACTGCGACTTCCATGATCTGAGGCCGGTCTGTCCCTATCACGTTCCCGATCTCGATCTTCAGCGGATCCTCCTGAAACTGAGGTTGGTCTACCTGGTTCAGGCCCAGCGAGACTGCCTCTGCGGGCAGAATCGCCCTGAGAACCATTGCCATTACCACCTCGTCGAGTAGTGTCACTAGTAGTTATCGGCAAAGCGTTTCTGCCATTATCCCGCCCAGGGGTGCCGCTTGTACCCCCAACACGCCTCGATGCTCTACCCTTGATGGAGCTGCCCTGCGTAGCATCACCCCCCACGGACGCCTGACCAATGATATTCTGCATAGTTATCATGCGGCGCCGCTGGTGATGGGCATCATCGCCTCTATCACCCCTAGAAGGTCCTGTAGGCGGCGAGCCTTGCTTGACTGGCGGTGGTGGATTTGACGTGGTGGGCGATGGGGCAGCCGGAGAAACGACGCCAGGAATGGGATTCGCGCGGGGCCCTGAAGGTGGACCAGGAGCTGCAGTGGAAGTTAACGAGGTCGATGCTCCTTGGATGGTTGGTCGGCGACTTGGGTGAATGGATGGAGACTGTTGCGGAGGTTGGGATTGAGTAACCGGGGATTGCGGTCGCAGTTGTGGTGGTGGTGGTGGTGACTGGGGATTTTGGACAACATTTCTTAATCTATCTGGGTGCATTCCAGCAGTATCACTTCCATTAGTTGAAGCTACTGTGTTGTCTGTAGGTTTTTGGGTTTCAGTTTTGTTGTCCGCCGAAACCACAAGAGGCGGTGGCTTATTTTCCAGACCTGGAGATGGCAACGGAGTTGGCACACCAGGCGGGTTATTTGGTGGAATTCGCTGTGTCCCAGTAGTGGCGGTGGTCAGAGCCGGTGAGGACGCAACCCTATTCATATTGCCTCTGGGCCCCATTGGTGCGCCACGCTGCTCTCGTGGGCCCTTGGGTATGATATCAGGTGGATTAAGCCTCCCATGATTGGGGTCCTGGTGCGTAACTGGTGGAGCGTGTCGAGTTTCACGGAAATCGCTGAGCGATGGGCCTGACGGCCCTCTTGGTGGGGCTCCAGTCAGCAGGTCACGTTCCTTCGGGGTTGACGGACCCTCTTGGCGGTTCCTTCTTTCCCTCTCACGTTCAACATCTGCACGTGGAGCAGCAGGCGGCCGTTGAGAGTGGACATCCTCCTGGGGTGCTTGCTGCCTAGGGAGGTTTTGATCAGAAGCCCTCCGATCTAATGCCCTGCGATCGGGATCGGGACGATCAATCTCCATCTGGTGAGCCTGTAAATCAGAGCGGTCGTGTCGACGGGATCGATCGTCAGTCCTATCTGGTCTTCTCCTGTCGACATCTGATGATTGGCTTCTGGGATCTGTTCTGACAGGATTTGGCTGAGGCTGCTGAGCGGATCTATTGGGCAATGGTTCCATCCGGATATCTGAATCCTTCCTCTCCCCAGTCCTCGGAACTCGATCATCATTTCTAAGAGGCAGTGCTGGTCTTTGAAAGTTGTCTTCTCTCGCCCTTCCTCTATCGCTTTCGCGTCGGTGCTGGTCTCTGCCCTCTCTTCTGGGAGAGGGAGGGCGCCTGTCCCCCAATCGATCTGATGGTCTGTCTGGCAGCCGCTCGGCTATAGGCCTACCAGCTGTACCCCGAACTTCTACAGACCGCGGAGAATCTCTCATATCCCTGGCCCTATCGTGAGGTTGCTGAACCGGAGGTCTGTCCGGTAGTTGGTGTTGGGGCAATGGTCTATTAGGTTGGGGTGGGGGGGGTCCCCTATTGACCTGGTTTAGATTTCGCGACATATCCTGATTAGGCCGGGGATTCAGTGGCTCGTCCCTTCTTGGTGTTCCCGCTCTTGAAGGCTCATTAGATTGTTGACTTTGTTGGAGCCTGGGTGGATCCCTAGAGGGTTGACGTCGTAGCGGGGGTGGGGGTACAGCAGGTCGCTGGGGAAGGTTTGGAAGGCGTTTAATCTCCTTGCTCCCTTTGTTGTCATCGATTTCCCCATCTTCCTTCTCCGCGTCAGGTTTGGATGGTAGAGCATTATTGGTAGTAAGCGCAGGAGGGCCACTGAAAAAAAAATTTAGCTTTGGTTGCCTTTAGAGGGCGGTTCGGTTGACATACTTAGTAAGATTGGTCAAGGAAGCGGTGTTAAGTTGCGATGAAGTATTATTGGCATCTGTGGGCGGTTGCTGGGTGGGCGTCGGAGTGGACGTGGGTGCTGGGCTGGGTTGCTTACTTCCCGAAACCACTGGTGTCAGTGCTTCGGTCAAGGATCCCTATCAATCCATTATCACGTAGTCAGAACCTGATCTATAACTTCAGGGAAACGAAAACTAACGATTACCTTTTGAAATGCCGCGACGAGCACCCAATCCTTCTCTCTGTGCTTGAGAAGCCCTAAAAGTGTCGCGGACGCAATTTTTAGGTCCTCCCTCTTCTCATGCTTTCCGAGCTCCTCTACCTTTTCAAGCACTGTGCGACCGATCCAATCCACAGAAGGAAAAAAATTATAGATATGCTTTAGAACAATAACAGTGTTCCGGATATGCATATACTCCTTAGAACAGAGACAATTCTTGATAGCACTATGAATGGTTTTATGCCACTTATAAAGAAGCTTTCGGAAATCTTCCCAATCCATTGGAGCGCCTCGAAAAGCGAAACCATTCAGATTCTTCCCGTTATTATGGGCTTCTCGTTCGTAGTGTGCCTTATCTGCGTGCCATGCATGAAGATCCGATAGCACCTCCTTCAGAAACTTGCCTAGATTTTCGGCTTCTTGTTGGGTGCAGGTAAATATGGTCTTCCCCATATGTTTACCGAATATGGCATCAAAGATTCCAACGGTGTGAAATTTCGGGGGCACCAGTTTGTGTAACTCTTTGATAAGCTTCGAGCAAAATATGGCGTCGTTGGGGCTTAAAACAATCCGGGGCATTAGGCAATACTGAACTATAGCGTTGGTAACCTCCCGCGGATCAGAGAAGTCGTTAAACCAGTGATCCTTTTCGAGCTGAAGCCGTTTCTTGACTAAACCATTATGGCATATGTGCGTTTTAACTTCCTCACTCAACTTGGTAGTGGACCCCAAAAGCTCGTAGCTGCGTGGCGATCTCTTGTCCGGTAGGGCCGCAATTTCGTCCTGAATACTAGCGCTAGCATTCTTATAAGTAGCCATAGGGACATAGACATCATAGAGTGACAGGTGCCAGAATGTAACATAGAAGGCCAAGGAGCCAGGCCACTCAGAGGTGGGTAAGACCGGTCGGAGTTCATCCATAATGTTTTTCAATACGGGGTTCCACAGTGTTTTTTCCACGGCGATAGCGGTATCTCCGTCCTGAGTTCCTCCCATATTAACATCCTCACGACCATCCGTTGACTGAATCCGCTGCATCTTTGTATTCACAGCGCTCCTTGCAATCCACCACGCAATATCTGGCTTCAACCCAAAGTCCCGACAAAGCCGCCCCACACTAGGGACCATCCCTTCATACTCTTCCGCCGGCAAGGTCTGCAATAGCTCGGAGTATTGCCCAAACACCACATGAACCTGATCAAACAAGTTACCAAGAACCTTCAGCGGCACCGCTTCAGGGTTTTGGTAGAGACAATTCTGCCTTGCCTGGGCTATGAGAATTAGAAGTTGTATTGCGAGTCCAGATCTCATCAACGTATCAGTAAGAGCCTTCACTGTATGCGGAGAATCTTCAGCCTTGGGGTCACGAAACCGCCCGAGGATAAGGCTACGGATATAGGGCCCACCGGCAAGGCCTCGATGTTGACTGTCGGTCAAATTTATGTCCGGATCGATTCCGGTCATTGATTGAATTATCTCTTGCAGGACTCCTAACCCTGACCATGTATTCTGCTTTAGTTGTCGCGCAATATATTCGAGTACTGGTGCCGGGTCCATCTGTCGGTAATAGCGGGTATAGATCTGGCCACAAAATTGCCCAAGTGCTTCAAGATGATTAGCTCACGATGTAAAGGGGTTTTTTTTTAGAATAAGGGAGCATACATTTGAGCCATCGGCTAGTTAGCATCCCATCTGCTTGTACACTCTGCTTCCCAGCTGTACTCATGCTTTGAAAGTGTTAGGACCTCTCCGAAGAAAAATTGAATAGTTCCCTACCTAAAAAGTACACAAAACCCTATCGCATCAAATGCCAATGGCGTGAAGTACTTTGCTCCGCCTACAACACACTCAATCAGGTTGTCGTAAGTTTCAACCTGGCTCAGAAGAACCTGCATGACCGTGACTGGCGAGCTAACTGCCACCTTGGCAAGACTGAGAGAAATCGGCTTGATAGTAATTAGGGATAACCTCTTCAAAAGATCTTTAGTTTCCTTTTCCGTTTTAGAGGTTTTTAACTTGAGGTCCGGGATCCTCATTTTTTCTTTGGAAATCCATTCACCGTAGATCGAATATCTAGTCTCCGTTGGAAAATAATTGATCATTCCCCACACCTCGTTCACTATACCTTGGTTTCCTTCCGTGAAGCTGACGGCGGGTACGATAATAGACCTAGAAAGGTTAATCCACCTGTCCCTATCCTCCTGTGTGCAATTTGGGTTTTCCAATACACTCCGCCCAATCCTACAAACCATAGACATTAACATGGGATCTCTCCCGATCCTGAGACCAAAAAGCTTTCCTAAAGTTTCCATTAGAACCACCACATCTGTAGCATCTCTACAGGTTGGTACCCCATCTTTCCAGTCCTCCCAGAAGAACCGATAATCAATATCAATGCCCCGCAAGTTGAGATTGCTAACAGTGAATGTAACCATTTGCTTCCGCTTCAATGGGGTCTTCATCTCAACCACTCCCCCAGGTAAAGGTGTTGCAACCTTCGCAATTCCCATATCTGAATCCCGAGGTTTCAAAGGTGCGTATACGGCCTCGATGGACCGGATCAGGACCCTTGAAAGAGCATCTGCAATGTCCTTCTCGAGCCCGGTGAGGAAAGGGTATTTTCCGAGGATAAACATGGCCTCGGGGAGCGCACCAAGAGCCAAGAGATGCTTGAGAAGGGCGACTTTCTGGTTCCAGTTTTCCCGTTTTTCTGGCTCCTTTGGTTTTGGTTCCTCTGGCTTCTTCTCTTCTGCCGGTGCGGGCGCAGGAAGTTTTGTCCGAGGCGGATTCGGCAATGTGTCATCATGGAGACTGCCCGCCAAAGCTAGCGCATTGGGTTTCACCACCTTCAGCTCATCCGTCATCCTTTTCAGCCAAGCCGTCCGCAACTCCATCATCTCCCCGTCTCCCCCTGGAGACAAATGCGGGTAAAGGTCAGCCAAATCAACAAAGCCAATCTTGATAAGGAGAGCGCTGAGTACAACCAAATTCTCGGGCAAGTTATCTAAGGCGTCATCGCTCTGGTAGTACCGGAACTTGAACCCGAGCAATTGCGCAGCAACCTTATTTCCACCTGCTCCTCGGGACCCTTCCCTATACTCGAAGAATTTGACTATCCCCTCCTTCTTCAGTGCTTCAAAGAATTTACCATCCATAATCAACTTTTTCCGCTCTTTTTCAGCTTTCAGTTCTTCCCGACCCTTGCCAGTATTACTGAATTCATCTTCGGAAGAAGAGGAAAGGTTCTTTGGCCACCATGCACTCTCTCTCAGTAATCTGACGAAGAAACGCGCGTTCGATACAACGGTGCTAGCGGCGGTGTCGAGGAGCACATCTAAAACCCTTGCAGGGTCTAATTCGAAAGCACCCACCAACCCCTTTACTCTCTCGCCAGTCCGGCCAACTACCTCCAAAGGAAATTGCGAATATGAGGCTGTAAAAAATTCGGTGATGAGCTTCGAGTAGCCTTCGCTCTCTTCTCGGAGAAGGTTATGTTTGCGCTGCTTGTAGATGAGACTAGTCGTAACTTTAATGGCCTTTTTGGGAAATTGAGACGTAACCAGACCCAGCGCCGATAAAGTGGAGGGTTCTAAATGCAAAGCGAATAACTCTGTCGGGAACGGGGAGGGAGAAAGTGCCATCAAAAGCTTCGGTAGATTTTCTGGGATTAGAGCATTGGAATCCTCGAAACTCGCAACGGTTGAAAGGAACAAATCTTGGAGGTCGATTTCCGAGTTTCCCTTGGGGAAGAAGCGGATGATGTCGGTGATAAACTTGGAAGAATCCTGAATAGAAATTCTCCCATCAAGAGTCGCCTTGACAAATTCCTGTAATATGATACAAACCTCATCGATATCTTCACTAACAATTGACTTGCCCAGAGCATCTTGAACCCGGGCAGCACCTTCGGATTGCCAAGCGCGGAGGTTTGCATCGGACAAGAACTCCCAGTAATAAAAGTCTCCAGGAGTACCAGGATCAGTGGGCGTGTTAGTCATTGCGCTTTCGTCAGCCACTACAGCCATGTCCTCGGGGCGGCGACGGTTATAAGGTGGTGGTTGTAATATCAGCTGTTGCGGTTGTTGCTGCGGGTGTTGAGATTGTTGCGATGTCGAACTCTGACGGCCGCGTCTACCAGGACGGTTTCCACCAACTCCACCTCCAGAATTTCGCGGAGAATAATTATCGGCAGGGCGATTAGGAGTATATGGAGAAGTACGCGGCAGAGTGTTGCTTGGTGAAGAGGGATGTTTTCGCTTGCGATCACGGCCGCCAAGACGATTCTCGGGCATGATTAAATAGCGGGATGAATCAAGGGCTCAAAGGAGCCAGAGTGAGGAGGGGGAATACTAAAAAGGGGGAATCTTGAAGAAAGGAGAAGGAAGGAATAGGGAGGAGGCTCCCGGAGGGAAGTGAAATATCGTTAAATCGTAGGCCGATGTGACAAACGTCAGTTGACAGAGAAACGTCCAATTTCCGATGAATGGGAAAGCGGTGGGGAAATTGGTGTTGAGAGGATAAGGGAGGAAAACGAAGACCGAGACTTGTAAGGTCAGATTAACTATTTCGAGGAAAGAGGCCGGTCAGACGCGTGTGGGTTCAAAGAAAGTTGGGATATAGAACAGCTGTCTGTGGCAGTGATGGGGTGGTGGTGGTGAAGGTGATGAAGGTCTTGTCCCCCGGACGCAGCAACCAAAGTACGGTCTCTTGTTTGTTCGCTCACGGGGAGTAATAAAGAGGGTTTGGGGGAACAGAAAAGTGGGGGGGGGCGTCTTCCTCGATGAAGAGAAGAAGGCCAGGGCGAATTAAGGGCGAGGACAGAAAGAGCCTCCTTTCCTTCGACCTTCTCTCGTTTCGTTTCGAGATCGAACTGTTTTTTCTCCCAGGAAAGGAATCAGGAAAGGATGGTGGGAGAGATGAAACCCTGCCTTAAATTCTTTGCTTATGTCATCCATGCCCGCCAAGCAATTGTATTAAGCATCCAGGAATACTATGCCAGCAGGTGATGATACCTTGCTTGCATCGTGCGCAGGAATATCAATCCCTATTTTCAGAGCATAAGAATAATACAGTACTCGTACTCGAGCACATCACCCTAGATACAGTACTGGAATAGCTCGAATGCATAAATCTATGTCTGCCTGGGCCCAAACATCCACCGAATCTGGATGGGAAAATATCCTGCGACTTGATTCCCGGCCAAATGTGGGCCCCCAGCTAACACCTAAGGACGTACCCGGGTTTGCTTACTACTGCTATACTATGATAGTACATATTATGATACCAAGGCAATAAAACCACAGGTTTAGCAACTAGGAACCGCTAAATGGGGGAGTCAGTTATGTAACTGATCGAGTCCGTGGTGCGTTCGACTGTCTTGTGAGCGATGATGGTTGGTGATCGAGTTTCTTCTGAATTTCAGCTCCACTGGTAAAATCTCAAACCCCGGGTTTGGTCCTCCTTATGATACGGGTCTCAGACTTCCTAATAACTATGATTTGGTGGGATGCCGAATACCCCCCACGACTTCGGGAACCACAAGATCAGTCAACCCCCTATGAACATGAGGTACATCGCAGCAAGTCGGGCAGTATAGATCTCGGATCCCCCCACGACCCACTAGTTCCCACGAGCAAAGAAACCAATTTCCAACAAACTTGCTACAAGAAGAGGTGTATCTTTACCGTTGATATGACATCGCACAGGGGAGTGAGCAAACCCAGTCCAAGGTTTCGTACACAAAGTCCGCCTCAAGGTAGATGGATGGATTTGTCTCAAGAAAGCACGCCCTCGGAAGCGCGCCTAGTCCCTTCGTTGTCACAAAGGTTTTGATCGCCAGCTTGAACTATTAACCTTCTGAGCCTTAGCATAGCCTGGGTCTAGGATTGTAGACTAACATTGCAACAGCAAGATTTTAACGCTGGGTTAGGGTTTGAGGGTAAACTTCATCTCCCAACTCCTAAAAAACACAATATTATTATCATACGGACGAGGTGGCCAGCTGAAAATAGAGCCGTCATTTAGCGGGTAAGATTCCCTTGTGTCCCACCTTTGTAAATTATCCCCTATTCCAGATATGATACCACAACCGACACTCAAGTATCATAGTAAATAAGGGAGCATCCCATGTCTTTAGGGAAATACAAACACATAGCTATCATGCAGTAGTAAAAGCTCCCACACATTTTACCCTACGCCTCTATAGACACATTTCCCCTATTCATCCCTTTGGGACCGAATTTTGTTATTGGGAATTCGACTTCCTGGTTCACCCAGATACCATCTCACCTCTCGTATCAAGACTCATTCCATCACTTGTAACTGTATCAACAAGTCACAACCCTATCTCTCGAGTGATTTTGAGAGCAAGGTCAAGGAAAAATTTTACTTATTCCCCCACGATCTATTATCCTCGATTACTATTATGACCTCTTGCATGAGGGTATGATACAAATTGGGCCATCGCCGCGAAACCTGCCAGCCCCACAGTCAATGGAGGCTCGAGTAATCTCGTTCATCACAGTGTTAAAACATTGCAAGCTCCTAAATCTCACCTATAAAGAACCTCAGAATCAGGACGATACCCGCGGCTCCACTCTGTATCTGTTCTGTCTGCTATTTTTCAGCGGCGGCGGGCCTCAGGGGCAATCACCGAAAATGTCAAGTCATGCCTTCACCAATATTCGTATTACATCGAGGAGGAACCCCCCTAGAAACTAGAAGAACCACTGACGATTGTTATGCGATTGGTTCAGTGAAACACGGTAATCCGTATAAAAGCTGTAATGAGTAGTTCTCACATATAAGTCCCATTTTACGTGTCGACGCACTGAGGCAAATGGGACTAATAGAGCAAAGACCAAATCGAGAAGACTCAACGGCTCATCCTTACGACAATCCCCAAAGGGCACTTTCTTGCCATCCCCAAGGGTCACCAGTCCAACGCCCCCCCCTCCCCGTGAAGGAAAACCTCGCAGTAAAACCTCTCCTCCTCCGGAGCGCCATTGTGCCAGACACTAAATTCAGCTCCCAATATTAGAACGGGGAAACCAAGAGCTTGCCCAACTACCCGGCGATCAAAATTACCAGGCCAGTTCCCTCTGTGATTTAAGTTCTACTCAATCAGCATTCCCCTGGCTACCAGCCACAATGATCCGAGTGATAAATTATGAACACCCACACACCCAGGACCTAACAAACAAAGTTCGCGCCACAAGCACTTCAAAAACCCAAAGTGTGAAATAAAGTAATCACGACTCTCAAGTTTAAAACAAGAAAAACTTTGAGAAACTCGAAAACATATTTCTTTGTTCGGAACACTTAAATACCAGACCAACCCAGGGTACATAATTTCTCATCCATAGTGCTCTGTTACTACTACTCGACCGCGCCGAAAATATGTCAAAGAAAGGTAAAGAATGGACCTGGTATCACCGGGGTGGAAACAAGAACGTCCGATACTTTGAAGTGTGGTGCAACTATTGCCTCCTACACGCGAAAGGAGCGATAATGAGGGAGAACCCTGGGCTCTCCGTGATACCCGGGGATGACCATGGGGAAAAGGAATTACTCGAACTTGGTATGTGCTTTCTCCTCTCCCTGTCCTCCCTCTCTCTCTCCCACAACCAAATCCTAACATATGAGAAAACTTTATATAGCCAAAAAACGAGTAACTCCCTTCGCCGGTCGCAAAGAAACAATGTTAAACCACCTCATCGATCTACAAAAATGCCCACACGCGCCACCTGAGATCCGCCATCAGGCACATCTCGAAAAGTTCGAGTGGAAGCAGCGACTTCGTGCTGGTAGCTCCCGAGATCATTCTATGTCCCCGTCGAGGGTACAGGTACAGTCTCCTTACGCAGATTATTCTCCCCCTCCTCATCATCCTCTGCCGCCTCCCCCACCGCCACCACAACCACAACCACAACATCATATGCATCCTCCACTCCCGCTAGGGCTAAGCATTGAGGAAGATCTCGACGCGCCATTTACTAGGGATGACGAGGAGATTTTCCATCTGCAGGTTGCGAGAGCGACAGCTTCGGCCGGGCTGCCCGATCGGTGGATCGAGGACCCGGAGGTTGTTGAGTTGTTTAGGTTATTGAGGGGGGATATCTCGGTTCCGAGCGCTGGGCATATTAGGAGGTTGAGAGACCTGCTTGGGTGGGGTTGATGATGTATTGGGAGTTCATGATTCTCTCAGGTTTTTCCACCCGGTTTTTCTTCTTTCCCTTTTCTCTTCCACCTCTCTCAGCACTTCATAGACATGCCAGCGTTTCTTTATAATAGTTAGCCTTAAACAATCAACTCCTTTTCTCATACCTCATTTCCCCCCAGCATGCGGGTTTTTTCAATATGGGTTTCTTAGCTAGGTTGATGTGTATAGGTCAATAAGAGTAGTAATTCGTGGCCACCCTACATCTAAAACAAGTGGCTCTTGGGCTCAAAGGGTATAAAAATTATATCAAGATAGAAATTCCAACGAGATCAGTAAGCTGGCTTCCGTATCAATACCACAAAGATACCCAATTCAATGTTGCGTTACCTTTTCCTCATCCACGCCCACGCGCTCTAGATACCGATCTTGAGCTTGATAAATATAGCATATAACTGTGAAATGGATTGGGATATTGTCTAAACAAAAGACTCCTTGGAAGATGAAACTGGAGTGATATCGTGTGAATAAATCCATAGCCTAGAAGGAAATCAACTGATCGGTCCTCTTAAAGTTTACCCTATCCCCCCCATAGAAAAGCGCTATTTCATCTGTTATCATACGGATTATGTCGCGAGGGATATAGAGGCTCGGAAGAAGACAATAATAATATTATGTCAATGATATCATTGTCCGAAAAAAATAAAAATAGAAACCCGTAGATCAAGGAAGGGAGAGGAAACAACGCACGATTGTGAAGAAATCAAGTAGTGATTGTGGGCCCGCATACAAACAGGAACACGACTAAAATATTATACAAGAATGCATACGTACCAATAGCTCACAGTGTACTCACTCCTACTACAGGTAAAGGAAACAACACCACACCCTGATTGGGCAATACACGATAAAACCTCAAATTCGAACAGTTACAATTCTATTTTCTTACAATAACTCTCTCTCTCTCCAGATATGTAACCTAAAGTTATAGACATTTTTAAAGGTCAAAACTTGCAATCTCAAACAAAGCATTCTGTCCCAGCAAAATTGATTGCGTTTAGCAGCAAGTATATTCTCAACATGCGACATCCTCATATCAGAGTTTTAAGGGCCAACTCGTGACTTCCGGAATTC